GGACTCCTCCCCCCTTCCCTTCGTTAGCCGACGGAGCCACTTGGGGAAGGGGGGAGGAGTCCGGTGACGTCGATGTCCGTGACGTCCCTGGATCGCCGGCGGAGAGGTGAGTGTTTTCATTAGTGATCAAAATTATTTTAATCGATCAAAAAGTTTAACGATTAAACGAGAAATTAATCTTTAATTTCCACAGCCCTAAAAGAGAACCTTTACTTCAGTCACGGCACCCTTTACAAGTATGTAAAATCTCAAGGAACCCCAGTCTAAAATGTAAAACATGTACATGTACAAAGAAATGTGTGGCCCCTCCAAAATCCATAGCAGAGCCTTATCCCAGGTAGGTGTCTGTTATGGCGGGACCACATGAAAAAACACAAAAAATGGTGTTCCCACTTCAGATCAGGAGGCTCACTTAACATCAGTGCCCCCCTTTCCTCACACCAGAGCCACCTTTACATCAGGAGCCCCCTTCTTTCACACCACAGCACTCCTCTCACTAGACATGTGCACCAGCAAAACATTTGTTTAGTTTAGTTTAGTTTCAGATTTTGCATTCGTTATACCTGTAATTCTGAGTTCGGATACATGCGAATCGCAGAATTTCCGAAATTCCGTCCGAATTTCGATTAGGATCAAAACGAAACGCACATGTCTACCTCTCACACTATGGGCCCCTGTTAAAATTACAACCCCCCCCCCCCCATTTACATTAGAATCTCTCTTTTCATATCAGAGCCCCAATTAACATCAGGGGTCTCCTTTACATTAGGAGCCCCGTTCTTCACATCAGAAGTCCTTCTTTCACATGAAAGTCCCCCCTTAACATCACAGAGCCTCCTTTACAAGCCCCCCCATTTCACATCAGAGTTCCCCCTTCACACCAGAGCCCCTTCACAACAGAAAGCCATGACACTGTGTGAAAATTTTGAGGCACCCTGGGGGAAGGCAGAGGCGCCCCATGGTGCCACGGCAGACTGGTTGAGAAAGGCTAGACTAGAGCAGTGATGGTCAACTTGTGTGATAAAGGAGGCTTCAAGTGCAGCCCCTGACATCAGTACCAAATATTCAATGAATATATTGCTACAGAAAGTTGTCAGGGACTGCAGACATGCAACGAGAGATGGTCAGAGGCTGTGAACATGCTATAGAAGTTGTTGGGGATTGGGGACATGCTTCAGGAGACAGTCATGATCTGGAGAAATGTTACATGAGACTGCTGGAGATCAATGCTCTTACACATTTGTCCACTTAACAGCCCTCCCTAAAAAATTCTCAAAGATCAGAGGGAAAAACAAAACATTTAGGGTTTGTTCACACCAGATCTGGAGCAAATTTGGATGCATTTCAGCATATGCAGTGCAGTGCGTTTTGCCGCGTTTTTGATGCAATCCGGTGCCTTTTTTAATGCTTAAAATGGTCTTTCAGGTGTGATCCAGTGCGTTCTAGAGTGTTTGCATGTGTTTATTATGTGTTTACATGTTTTTTGGTGCTTTCCAAAGCAGAAAAGAATAGGGCATGCAGCAGGTTTTCCACATGCACTGGAACTGAACCCTATGGTGTGAACTAGAGCCCAAAATACCATTGGAATACATGGGTTTTTGATGCATTCCTAAACTGCTCTGCTCTTCATCTGCTCTGCGCTTGGTGTGAATTAGCCCTAAAAAGAGAAAAAGGTTTGAACAGCATAGAAAAAAAGTAAGAGTGTAAAATAAATAAATCAAATCATTAACTGCTAGAAGCCAGTCTGAAAAATAGTTTTCCTTCACTGTCATGGGTGGGCACTAAAACAGACCACCGTCTGCAGGGGCCCTGAGGGTTGCACAGTAACCGATGTATAGGGAGCAGGGGTCTAGAGTATAATATTACAAAATAGAATATATACCAAAGTGAAGAATAAAGTGTAATTATTGGATCAAACATACTCCTTACCCTGTTGCTAGGGCAGCATTGTGGGTAAGTGGTTTGCACGCTTGCTGTGTTTGTAGAATTTGCCTGTGCTATGTCACTGGACTGAAGAAGTTTTAATGGACAGCAGGGGGAGCACATGAATCAAAAACAGAATCTGTGAACAGCTTATTGCATTGCCCAGCGTGACTAGTAGTTGACATCAGAAGAAGAATACATCAAAAGGTATCCCAACTTATTATAGTCTTAACTTATTAAATGCAGGTAATGCGTCGACTGCATCTAACAACATAATCTGTACAGTTTATGTTGGTTATGTGTTTAGATGAAGCACTGAGACCTTGAGGAATGCTGAACAGTGGCGTAACAACCGGGGGTGCAGCAGGGGCGCGGGCCCCGGACGAAAAGTGAAGGGGGGGGCGCCGGCCGAAAATGGCACTTTCGGCTAAATGCCGAAAGTGACATTTTCCTGCCGTTTTGTCGGCGCGGCCGTGATTCCTTTCATCCCCGCTGGGACACAGAGCAGTGCCCAGCGGGGATGAAAGGAATCAGAGAGAAAATGACAGCCGGCCGAGCGCTGCGGGACGAGCGCTGTGAGCGGCCGGTGTCTTTCCTCCCACACCGCTCGGCCGCCTATCACAGTGCAGCAGAGCGGTGTGGGGCCGAGACAGCCAGCGCTGTCACAGGAGGCTGGGCTCTCCTCTTGCAGCCTCCTATGACAGTGTGTGTCAGAGAGGAGAACGGGTACAAGCACTCAGTGATCAGTGATCGCTGAGTGTTTGTACATAATTGAGGACCTGGTATGTATACTATATCCTCAATTATGAATGAATGGGAGTGATCTACATCTCCTCCTGTTCATTCATAATTGTAGTTATAGTAAACATACCATGTTATCAATGAACAGGAACACTCATAAAGGATTCCTGTTCATTGATAACAGGGGACACAGAAAAAGAGATTGAGGACTCTGTGTCCTCAATCTCTTTTTCTATTTTTAAAGGGAAATATCAGGGGTCTGTTTAGACCCCCAATATTTCCCCGAAGCCCCTAAAAGTAAAGTAAAAAATAAAAATATTTAATAAAAAATTAATTAATAAATAAAAATTGATTTAAAAAAATGAAAAAGTTTCAAAAAAAATTAAATATTAAAATTTGAAAAATTAAAATAAAAACATGTGTGTGTGGAGGGGAGGTGCAGGGTACAGTTCCAGTGGTTGTTTATATAATGGGGGGTGGGCAAAAAGAATTCTGCCCCGGGCGCCCAGAACTCTGGTTACGCCACTGATGCTGAATGAAGTTTTACTTGTTTAGGAGAATTTTAAATCAGAATACAGTATTTACAGCATACAGAGAGAACTTCCTGTGTATCATGGATAAGCATGTATATAGAAAACTAACATTGCACTACAGAGCCATCTACAGCTCAAAAGGACATATTACAACTGAGTAATAGAATCAGCACATATCAGCATAGGCTGCTGTATTTCCAACAGTTTAAGGTGAACCTTACCCTTGCCTAAGCATCTATTCATAGCGGTACCTTCATAGTCTGCTCTGTGGTCTATTTAATGCCCATCTCCAGGAAAAGAAAAACGTCCTTGCCGTGGGGCTGCCCCTGCCCTGCAAGGGTTAAGGGCCCATTTATGTATAGGATACCCATGTAAAGGACTTTTACTTACGTGATCCCTGCATGCTCCAAGACTGGCACCCGCGGCCTCCCTCTTCCCCCCACATGCTCCAGTGGTAGGAGGCTCTCTGACGTCTTCATGTACAATACAGGGCCCATAGCCGGGGGCCATTACACAAGCCAAAGTGTGGGAGAGATGAGAGTACAGACTGTGGGGGGATCAGGGATCAGGTAAGTACACAGGTACCCTAGACATAAACGAGAAAATGTGTTTTTACACATATTCAAATTCCAACTTTTTGTTGAACTTCAGCAGCTCTCATGTCCAGTCTAACCACTGCTCTGTCCATTGATGTTGACACAAACTTAAGGTTTGCTATGATATAGGAAACATCTAATAGTGTTAATTGTGACTAAGCTGTTCCTTAAACATTTTACTTTTTTTCTAGGAAGTCTTCCCAGAAAAATAGCAGACCACTTCCTCGTATGTGCGGGTACCTAGGTACTCCTGTGCCTACAGCCTCATAAGCTGTATATCTGCAGTGTGAGATCTAAGGCACTGCTAGTCTCAGCATATTTGGAGTGAGATGTGGTGATGTCACTACTGTGCTGCTCATTGTTCTCCTTGTTGGAGGCTCTGATATGAGGAAGCAGAGACTTGCCTCTACCAAGAAGGACACATCCATAGAGAGACATGGTGCAGAACAAGGCATGGTAAATAAAAAATGGAAAAAGATCAGCTGCAGGGAGACTACAGGCAATGCTGGTGACTAGTCATTTGCCCTCTAGAGGGCTTGTTTTTTGGGAACAGTTTCCAGCATGCAGGGTTTTTTTTTTTTTTTAAGTAAAGGATTACATTAAATGGTAGATGTGGCACCATAAACCACTTTCAGGCTAAAGAATAGTTATAATATTTAATATTATCCATTTTCCTTTTTTTTAGATTTCGAGAAAGGTTTCCAGCTTCACCCTTTTCATTATGAGAGATATGTACGGTCTGGGAATAATTTTAGAGTCACTGCTCTAGCTACAGATCTGGAGAGCAAGAAACTCAAATTGGCGTCCAAGAACATTATATTTGAAGTTCCTAGTGTTGATATCAAGGTATGTTTTAATATAACTGAGGAATGCAAAATGATAAATGATCATGGGAAGGTCCTCATGGCTTCTATGTTCTTATACATATACTGTATATTTATAATGGTAATAAAGGTATTTGGAAAATGTAAATTATGTTTATATAATTCCTTATCAATGGAATATAACTTGGCGCTATAAGTCAAATAAATATATTGATCTTGTCAAGCTGCTGTGCTATAGGTGTGTCACCCAACTAAATATGTGTATAAAATGTGCACTGTGTTAATATAATCTATCTCTTCACAATTGCATATGTAATCATGCACGTGTTAATCAACCACAAAATGTGTTCAATTTCAATGCTAATAACATACCGTATATACTCGAGTATAAGCCGTCCCGAATATAAGCCGAGGTACCTAATTTTACCAAAAAAAACTGAGAAAAAGTATTGACCCGAATATAAGCCGAGGGAAATGAGGCAGCTACTGGTAGATAGATACCAATAAAATTACATTAATATTTATTTAAAAGAAAAATAACCTAGCTCTGTAAGTGGAAAAGGGGGGTACATGGCTTTATCAGAGGTGACAATAATATAAATACCGTATATACTCGAGTATAAGCCGTCCCGAATATAAGCCGAGGTACCTAATTTTACCACAAAAAACTGTGAAAAAGTATTGACTCGAGTATAAGCCGAGGGTGGGAAATGAGGCAGCTACTGGTAAATGTACAAAATGAAGATAGATACCAATAAAATTACATGAATATTTATTTAAAAGAAAAACAATAACCTAGCTCTGTAAGTGGAAAATGGGGTACAGGGCTACATATCATGTACTACGGATCATTTAACCCATTCATATTAGCAGAGGATAATTGTAAATCTATTGTTCAGTGCACTCTATATGTAGTATATAGTTCATGTACATATAGAGTGCCTGCAACAATACATTTACTATGATCCTCTGCTAACATGAATGGGTTAAATGAT